AAACTCTGAAAATAATATCTGTATACCATCTAAAGTTACTCCTTGTATACCAGGAATTCAAGTACCACACTTTGGTTAACGCATTCTAGGCACTCTGGGGTTTTATGTGAGCTGGGGCTTGGATGCTGGCAACCTGGGGAAAGGCTGGGGCCAAGTGGAGATTGCAGAGCTAGGATTATGCTTTGTCACCAGCCTGGGCTGGGGTTAATTGAGTGCTAAGGCTCTGCTTCAAGGCACATGCCAGTAAACTGGAATGTGGGTTTGAAGGGTGGAGATGAATTGGGAACAGGGGCAAAGAAAAAGGGCCAAGGGCAGATTCCCTCATGCTCTGGCCTGTAGCCCGAGTCCTGGACTCCTGACCTCACCACAGACGCAACAGATGTAAAACAAGCCAGTTGGTTTCCAAGTGGGAAGGGTGCCAGCCATGAATTTTGCTGCCCAAGGAATCAATAATAATCATTTTTATGATTCATGTTCGTCCTGTTTTATTCTAAAGCACTTTACCGAAAAGCCCCTTGGCCCAGCCAAGAAGTTCAGGGCCAGGAGCCAGGACACCTGGACTCCAGATCTGTGTGTGGAAGATTTGGAACTTTCTCGGGGTCTCAGATTCTCTCACTGTTAACGTGGCAAGTGACATCTGTGGATCATTTTATTTTAGTTTCTTTTTGAGACAGTCTCGCTCTGTTACCCAGGCTAGAGTGCCGTGGCATCAGCCTAGCTCACAGCAACCTCAAACTCCTGAGCCTCCTGAGTATCTGGGAGTACAGGCGCACACCTGGCTAATTTTTTCTATTTTCAGTAGAGGCAGGGTCTCACCCTTGCTCAGGCTGGTCTCAAATTCAAGACCTCCAGCCAGCTCCCTGCCTCCACCTCCCAGAGTGCTAGGATTATAGGCAGTGAGCCACTGCTCCTGGCCTGTGGAGTATTTTACAGTTTTACATATATCATCTCACTTGACCCTCCAATCCCTGATGAGGAAAGTGGAGTAAATAGGATTGTTATTCTTTTTTTTTTTTTTTTAGGTAGAGCTGGGGTGTACCTACGTTGCCCAGGCTGGTCTTGAACTCCTGGGCTCAAGCAATCCTCCTGCCTCAGCCTCTCAGAGTGATAGGATTACAGGAGTGAGGCACCATGCCCCGCCTAGGATCACAATTCTGATTTTACAGATATGGAATCTGGGACCAGGTAGGTTAAGATGTGCTCAAATACACACATTATTAAGGTGGGGAAACTGGGACTTTTGATTCCATACCCTTTGATCTTTCCCTGTCAAAACAGTAAAGTCAGTTGCATGCCCAATTTCAGTGCAGCTTGAGTTGGCTTGATCCTACACAAATGCCCTGTGTATGTTTCAAGCACAGATCTGGGTTTGTGGAGCTGAAAAGTGTACAACCGAGGAGGGTAGGACGGCTCTTTAAAGAAAAAAAAGAAAGAAAGAAAAGAAAAGATGAATATGAAATTAAGTAAGGGGCCTTGAAGCTTAAACTTCATTAAATCCACCTCTTCTACATGCCAGTACCCTCTAAAAAAAACCGGACACACCTGATCTTGACAGGGTTTTCCTCCCTGTGTGAAACGTGGCAGAAGTGGGATGTACAAGTCCTGGGAAAGGAATCTCACTTCTCCCAGGAGACAAGAGGAATTACAGCAGCAGCTATGCAGGCTGTGTGAGGACGAAGAGGGCTACGCGCCCCGGAGAGAGACCTAAGTGGCTGGATGACCCAGCTGGCCATGGTAGCAGTAGCAGTGTTGGTGTGGGAAACTGGCCGCCTGGGAGCCAAGAGGAGCAATGGCGCTGCCCCGGGAGCGGAGGCCCAGACCATAGGCTGCCTGTTGAAAGCAGGCGTCCTTCAGACAGTCTTCTGGCTCCCTGTGTCCTGTCCTGATAACCTTTCCTTTGAGAAGAGGAGGCAAAGACAGACACCACAGCCGTGGCAGTGGGAGGGTAGACCGTGGTCCTCGCCCAGGCCTTTCCGTCCCGGCACGCAGGATAGCGGCCTGGGGGAGGCCTGGTCCGAGGCTGCTCCGCTGCAGCTCCAGCGGCGAGGCCAGGGTGCCCGGCTCCCCTCGCGGCTCCCCACCGCCGCCGCCGCCGCCGCCGCCGCCGCCGCCGCCGCCGCCGCCGGGGTGGGGGCAGCGCCTGCGGCCTGCTTTCCCAGGGCTGGCCTAGCCTTTTTGACAAGCTGATTGCGTGGCGAGGATTGGCTGGTCCAGGCGTGACGCCGGTAACAACAAAGGTGGAGTTGGAAAAAATTAGATTAAAGGAGAGGGGGAAAAAAAAAATTAAAGGGGGAGCTGGTAGGGGACAGAAGGTAGAGACCGAGGGGCAGATGTGCCAAGCCCGGTCTCCGGGTTCTGACTCCCGCCCTCCAAGCTTCTTCTTGAAAACCCAGCGGGATTTTGCTCTTTATCCCCACCCCAGCCCAGTTACCGAAGACGGGGTAGGAGGGATGGCTGCTGCTGCTTGAAAAATCCCAACACCCACCCTTGACACCCCTTACTACGACCCAGAGGGAGAACTTTTTGCTCCGACTCCTCGGATCCTAAACCCGGCGAAGCTGTGGGGCATTGAGAACGACGAGAAGCTTGCTCTAAAACCCGGAAGGCCCTCGCGGGGCACGGAGATCGGACTAGGCGGGGTGCTCCCCCGGTTTTCCGATGTGTTGCAAATCTAAGAGCTTCTTTTCTTGGCATTTTTTTTTTTTTAGTAACCCCCACCCCCCCGCCTTTGGCTTCAGGGTTGCAAAAGCAAAGAGCAATAAAAAAAAAAAAAAAAAAAAAAGACGCGCACACACTCAGACACACACCAGTGGCGACAGGGGAGAGTTGGAAAGACGCAGGAGAGAAGCAGAAGGCAGGAGACAGCGGGGATGGAGCACTGGGAGCGGGAAGCAGGCAGGTTCCCTCGCAAATCCCCCTCCGGCTTCACGCCGCCTCGCCGGCCCCGGCAGGGGAGCGAGGAGCCGGGCGAGCAGATGGAGGAGTGGAGCTCGTTCTAGGCAGCGGGCTTGGCCGGAGAATGGAGGAGCCACCAAGCGACCGGCTGATTGGAAGAGAAACGCAGAGCGATGGAGGCGGGGGTAGGAGGACGATTTCTCTGCGGGGACTGGCGGCGGCGTACACGCCCGGGTCGGGCGCTGCAGAGCTTGGCTGGCTTTCAACCCGCGCTCGCCGGCTCCAGCCCCGCGCGCCCCCACCCCCAGCCCTCCCAGCAGCTCCGCAGGTGAGTGCGAGCTGGGGGCAGAAAGACCCAAAAGTCTCAACACGCCCGCCCGGTTTAAAAAAAAAAAAAAGGAAGAAAAGCATTTTTCTTTTTTTATTTTCGTGCAGCCCCGAGAGCGGTGGGAGGGAAGGGGTGAGGCTGAGCCGCCCGGAGGAGGCGGAGGGGCCAGCGAGGCCGGGGTGGCCCGGGAGGCGGCAGCGCCGAGGCGGCTCTGACGGGCGAGCGCTCGGAGCGGCGCTGCGCTGCGCCGAGGCGGGCGGGCGGAGCGGGGCGGGCGGAGCGCGGCGCGTGGGGCTCGCCATTAGCCGTCGCTCCGCTTCGCCATCTCGGGCTTTGTCTGGCGACTGGCTGCCCCGGCGTCGGCTGCAGCGGAGCTGCGGCTCGGCTCTTCGGCCCGCCGCGCCCCCAGGTGCCCCCGGCCTGCGCTCCCATCCACACGCTTGGTAAGTGAGCCCCGGCGCCGCAGATTTCGGGGGAGAGGGGTTGCTACGAGAGGCGGCTGCACGGATCTCCATGCGCCCGGGCAGGCCTGGGGAGCCATGCCGGGCTGGATTGAACCGGCTCCCAGAGCGGCTCCTCCACCGGAGCCCGTCGCCCCCTCGCCGTTTCCGGGGTGTAAGGAGCAAAGGGGATTTTTGGGGGGGGGGCAGAGGTGAATTTTTTTTTCAAGTTTCGTGTGTGCCGTTCGGCAGCGAGGGGACCGCGAGGTAGGCGCCGAAGCCTGGCGCTGCGATCGGCGTGCGTGCGCCCCAAGCCGGCGGCTACGCTTCGGGGGATGAGGGTGGGCGCGGACCGCCCGCTCCGGGAGGCGGGAGAGGGGAGTGGGTGAGAGCTGGCCTGGAAGCCTGAGCCTGAGCTGGGAGGACCTGGGGGAAAGCTCCGGAGCAAGTCTGCGAGCACCCCCACAGCCTCCTCGGCCGCCGGGGGGCCCTTCGGGCACTCTCCGCGGCCGCGCCTCGGCCCTCCCTTCCGCACCGGCGAAGCCTGCTAGTTCCCCCGCGGGTCTGGCGAGGTCGCTCTCGGCGCCCGCCCGCCTCGGCTCCGAGCCCCGCCGCCATCCGGGCGGCTGCGTGTCTCCCTGCCCCGGCCCCCCCTCCCCGGCGGCAGCAGCAGCAGCAGC